ATCGCCATCATCAAACAGACAATCTTGACAGGTGACATTTTGGAAAAACTGTAACAAACCAAAAACACAACATAATACATGTAATATAGTATAAAATTAATCAAATGAGATGAATAAATGAGTTTGTTTATGAGAAATCGAAAGGCAAATTGTTTTTCTCAAAAATTATTATTTTATTAAATAAAAGTCTAATTTATTTACTTTATTATTTTATTAATCATTATTAAAAGAAAAAAAAAACAGGCCTTCAAGGAATATATCATAAATTAATGAAAAATTACAAGTAATAGACAGTTCTCAATTCATTAACAAAATATGAGCTTTATATGTCCTATAGAAAAGGCATATATAAGTAAATTTGCAGTTAGATCACTTAAGATTATACCTAAACCACATAACATGACATATAAACATGGAAATGAGTGGGAAATTTAACTCAAAGCAACGAATCAGTGTCCCAGAAGTAAAAAATCAGATGGATCTCGAATATAAATAACAAAGAATATAAATAAAGAATATAAACAAACAGAGAATATAATTAACAAGAAAAACTGTAAAACACTAGACAAGGATAAGGACTGCTGATTCAAGCTGCCAAAGATCTACAAGGTCTGAAGAGCAAAAAAAAAAACAAAAAAAAAAACGTTGCTTTTTTAATTCTGGTTTTTGAAACATAAAGAAAGAATGACTTTGTGTTCGGTTATATTTATTAATAATGGAAACAAATATAAATGTTGAAAAGTAAAAAAAAAAAAATCAATATTCAATTAGAAGGAGATATGATTAACATTAACATAACTCATTATTGTTTTTCTATATCTGTTTAATGTTTATATTTTATATATAAATAGGTATGTTATTAACAATTTTTATTACAAGTATATTGATTTTAAAAGACAAACTACATTAGAGTAATACAAAGATAAAATTTTCTTAAAGTGTTCTATAAACAATTTAATAACTATAATTATTAAAATTGGTTCATTTTTTCATAAAAAAAAAAAAAAATGACTATCATTTTGAAAGAGAATAGTTTTAATGAGAAAAGAACAAATTCATACCATATTTATAGAAAATATAAATAAAATAAATCATGATAACATAATAATATTAATAAGAACAAAAAATATGAAAAATAAATTATATATATAAATATACACCATCAACACTACATAAATATTATAAGAGTATCACATTTAATTAATACAAATTAAAGAAAATACCCAATGACCCTATACATTAATTTCTGTTTAACGATATGCAACAAATATTATTCATATTTATATATTGTTGTTATGATATGTATATGAATTCATTAAATAAAAATATGTACATAATATGAATGAGTAGTATGATATAAAGTTGAATTTTAATTTTTAAAAATTACTAATATTTAAATATTGTTATAGGTAACACTGCTAGGAAAGTCAAGTGAGCTGAACGGAGGACCATGATCATTTGAAAAACAAAAATTAAATCTTGAAAAAAAAACTATGATAAAGTCTAGCTTTTGACTTAATTACCAATAAAAAAAGTCTAATACAACTTATTTCCATTAATAAATATTTAGATTAGATTATGAAAAGATTTTGTATTAATGCAAGAACCGAAAAGTTGAAAACAAACTTACAAGACGAAAGGTGGTGAAATAATTTCGATGAAGTCTAGTCAGAAATATAATTCTAAACGATACTGTTTCTACTAAAGTATAATATAATTAATTCCGATTTATGAATAATTAGATTATAGGATGATTAGATGTCTGTTTAATGCAAGAACCGAAGGGTTGAAAACAAAGTCACAGGAAGAAGAGTGGTGAGGTAGAGAGGGTACTTACCAATTGAAGATTCCTCCAGGAGAAGCTGCTAAGAACTGACGAAGAATCTTGTGCCCCTTCCCTTTTTATAGGAAATCTCCAGCCAATCAGAGAGAGGCTCTATGCTATATTTCGTACCCACAAAAGGGATGACATAAAAATGCTATGTTTTAGGGGATGAAATTTATTGGAGATAGACACTGGATAATTATCCAGAAATATTTAATAAAAAAAAAAAATAGTTAAACAAATTCGAACCTATAACATATTGATCGGTCCAGGATTAATTAATTAAATTTATTTTCTCAAAGGCTGTTTTGAGTTTACCATGCTTCCTAATTACCAACATCACCTGTGATCACCATGATATAAATGGGTGGCAGGATTAAAATAACTTTTACTAAAAAAAATTTATTTTATTCTTATGTTTAATAAAGTATATATACAAATTATGCGAAAATCTTAATGAAAAAATTATATTTATAATAATCAAAATAAAACTAGTACCCAGTGAATTTAATAAATGGCTGTGAAGGCATGATTTCAGATGGACTGTTTTGAGAATGTGCCATGAAATATTTAACATTAGTGTATCTATTATTGGGAATAAAAATGTATTTATTTTTTTTTTAAACTGATTTTTTGTCAAAGTTATATATTAATAAAGTTTCATTGAAGTCCTCGTTTAAATTGCTAATTATGTTGTTTTAAAATCCCTGGTCTTTTTCTCATCTTACCCGGTAGAAATGAACGGATGACGAAAATAACATTTTTTGAGAAAACCCAAGTTTCATCCCGTTGAAGAAGAAAGAAGCTATTGAAAAAACTCATGGAGTTAGGTAATATGTCGAAGAAGTTCTCATAAAAATGTCAGTTCTTAAATCCATTCGAATGGATAAGGTATATGGAAGGTAAGGCTAGATTTTATGAGACCTAGAGGGTAAGGCGGGGTAAGATGACGAGTTCATCTTACCCCGCCTTACCCTAACAATCTGTTTTAAATTTGAGGGATTATTATTTTGCACAGATGTAATCCTCTTCTAAAAAAAAAAATATTTTTTCATCTTTTGCAACGGTTCACTAGTTAATTCGGTGGAATTAGTTCACTATTTGCTAAGATCTTTTAACTCGGTGGGAAAAAAATATAATACATTTTTTCATTTTCTTTCTTCTTTCTTCAGAACGATAAAATTACGCTCTGTTTTTGCGAAGTGGTCCAAATCAAAGTGGTCCAAAATCGAAAAAAATTGCCAACCACTGTTCTTGATATCAGAATTGCAATGATAATATCTTTTACCTGTTTAACATGTTAACATTTTTGGATTGATGCACAAACTTCAGTACTTTTTATCTATAGTTTATATCAATGTAATATGGTACCTGATGGTGCCAGAATAGTTGTCATTTATTTATTCAGTTCGAAAGTCTCGTGGCTTTATATTGAAATGTTCCATTAATATATTAACAATAGTTTTCACTAGTTTAAGAGGATCTAATAATTAAAAAATATTCTCATATCATTGTATGGGACTCCATGATATAATGCAACGAGTTGGAAGAGAAGCTGGGAATTCTTTAAGCCATCGAAGGATCTAGGACTGGGGTGGAGGGGTTTTCGGCTGAAAACCCCAAAAATGGAGAAAAGGTTTGTTTCACTAGTTCATATTTTTTTCTGTGAGTGATCTTAATACTTAAACAATCAGATTTTTGTTATTAAATATCCCTGAAAGCATTATTGAGCCTATTAAACTGAAACATAACTGTACATAGTTTCTTTATTTTTATCCCACAATAATTACCGTTAATAAAAAAAAAAAAAAAAAAAAAAAATTGTAAATAGTGTACATAGGTGTGGATGTGTTTTATTTATTTTATTATCATTCATCTTTAATGTGTTATTTTACTTATCTTGTATATTACTTTATCGTTTTATTTATTTATATATATATATGTTTGTTTATTGAATAATATAACACATATACAAATAAATAATATTATTCTATGTATTTTTTATTAAGTATTTTACTAATATTGAATTATTAAATCAAAATGTACTTCAATCGATGTTTATTTATGTTCTTGTTGAATGTTCCTGTTTGTGGATAACCGTATTTTTCTTTGCTCTACAATCATATTTTAATTATTTATTTATTTAATTATAACTAGACAATACTTGTTAATTATACTTTTTCAACATATTTTAAATCAAAATTTTTGTTGGTTATGACTTTTTGTTTCCGTATTCTTCTTCTTCTATCGGCTCTACGACCCACTAACATAAGTTTATTTGTTATCTTGGTCTGCTTCAACTTGATCACCAGTTTTCTGTATCGAGGGCTGATGCCTTTAAATTACAGACATATTGCTTTGTTTATTATGTTTACCTATTACTTAAATATATTTTTTTCTACTTTCTATTATTCTTATAAACAAATAAATTACTTTACCATTATTTTGTATATAGTTTTAAGTGTTTGGTATATGAATAGTTTGAGTTGTTCTGTACATAATTAGTTAACTTACTGTTTTTTAAGTTATTTTAATTTTTTAAGGTATCAAAACTTTTAGGGGAAAATAGACTTTTTTCCCTGTACAACTATGTTATTATCAAGTGAAAATATTTTTCTATAATACATAGTATTATGAATTACAAAATATTTTATAGCAAATAAAAAATTAATGTAAATTGTCTCTTACATATTTGTTTCTTTTCTTTTTGAGTGTCAAAATAAGTTTTTATTAGTAATGTGAAAAAAGATTTAATCCATACTTAGCACGATGTCCAATTTATGATTTATCTATCTGTGTGGGTGCTTAATCTATTGGGAAAAAGTATTAAAAAATTATCTTTTTTAGGGTTCTTTTTTTAACTTTTGTGTAGTTAATCCTTGATATCCTACATAACTATTATATATATATATATATGTATAATAATTCTACTCTTACAAAAGTGATGTTTTGATTATTAATGATTCTTGATTTTTACATTTAAGATTATAATATGAAGTATATAGTTGAAATGTATAAAGCATTAAGGCCAACTCTGTAGCTAGTTAAAACTTTTAATAAATGAAATAAATAAAAACAATTTTTCTTTTCTTAAAAATATGTAATTTAAAATGAAGTTGGTGTAAATAAAGATAGTTGGAATAGGAAGTATAAATTAAAATAATAAAAACAACAATTGGGATGCTGAGTTTATTCAAATTATATGATTAAGGAATACATGAATATATTGGAAATGAAAAATACAATTTTCAACCAATAAACTAAAATACTACATATATAAGTAATTTATAATTCATTCATTATCACCATTAAGGTATTCTTCAATTAAAAAAAAAACGACAAACAATGTAAGAATGATATAGATTGCATTTGAGCTTAAGAAAGATTCCTGGCTCATACGCATCCAAGAAATGACACGGCACCAACTGGCGTTGTATGTAATTACATTTGGGCTGGGGGCAATTCTCAATATTATCAATTCCATTTTGTTTTTGCCAATGGTTGCCTCTTCTTTCTTATTTTTAGTAGAGTTGGCATCCATGTCAGAAGTATAGCATGTTGCACTCAGCCATAGATTTTCCTCAGATGAAGAGGACTCAGTAGCAGAATCCGAATCAGACTCATATTGATAATAGCTAGCAGGGGTCACTTCGACAACTTCCATCGCATCCATATCTTCAGCAACTTTCTTTTTCAACAGAAGAAAATCGGTGGTTGTGGATTTGGTTGGGATAGCCTGAGTGATGTTGTCCAGAATGCTTGATGTCCCTGATGTTGGAGGATTGAAGATGATATCAAAAATGGAATGGTTGTCAGATTTTTCATCAGCACCGGTGAATTTGATGACGGCGATATCTCTCAACTTGTTATTTTTTGGAGAATAGTTGATCTTCAGTGGCTTGAATTCGGAATCATCATCATAGGCGCTCTTTTTTGTGGCTGGCTGGTTCTCAAAATCTGATATATCGCATATGGAAATGGCAATGAACATCGCCATCATCAAACAGACAATCTTGACAGGTGACATTTTGGAAAAACTGTAACAAACCAAAAACACAACATAATACATGTAATATAGTATAAAATTAATCAAATGAGATGAATAAATGAGTTTGTTTATGAGAAATCGAAAGGCAAATTGTTTTTCTCAAAAATTATTATTTTATTAAATAAAAGTCTAATTTATTTACTTTATTATTTTATTAATCATTATTAAAAGAAAAAAAAAACAGGCCTTCAAGGAATATATCATAAATTAATGAAAAATTACAAGTAATAGACAGTTCTCAATTCATTAACAAAATATGAGCTTTATATGTCCTATAGAAAAGGCATATATAAGTAAATTTGCAGTTAGATCACTTAAGATTATACCTAAACCACATAACATGACATATAAACATGGAAATGAGTGGGAAATTTAACTCAAAGCAACGAATCAGTGTCCCAGAAGTAAAAAATCAGATGGATCTCGAATATAAATAACAAAGAATATAAATAAAGAATATAAACAAACAGAGAATATAATTAACAAGAAAAACTGTAAAACACTAGACAAGGATAAGGACTGCTGATTCAAGCTGCCAAAGATCTACAAGGTCTGAAGAGCAAAAAAAAAAACAAAAAAAAAAACGTTGCTTTTTTAATTCTGGTTTTTGAAACATAAAGAAAGAATGACTTTGTGTTCGGTTATATTTATTAATAATGGAAACAAATATAAATGTTGAAAAGTAAAAAAAAAAAAATCAATATTCAATTAGAAGGAGATATGATTAACATTAACATAACTCATTATTGTTTTTCTATATCTGTTTAATGTTTATATTTTATATATAAATAGGTATGTTATTAACAATTTTTATTACAAGTATATTGATTTTAAAAGACAAACTACATTAGAGTAATACAAAGATAAAATTTTCTTAAAGTGTTCTATAAACAATTTAATAACTATAATTATTAAAATTGGTTCATTTTTTCATAAAAAAAAAAAAAAATGACTATCATTTTGAAAGAGAATAGTTTTAATGAGAAAAGAACAAATTCATACCATATTTATAGAAAATATAAATAAAATAAATCATGATAACATAATAATATTAATAAGAACAAAAAATATGAAAAATAAATTATATATATAAATATACACCATCAACACTACATAAATATTATAAGAGTATCACATTTAATTAATACAAATTAAAGAAAATACCCAATGACCCTATACATTAATTTCTGTTTAACGATATGCAACAAATATTATTCATATTTATATATTGTTGTTATGATATGTATATGAATTCATTAAATAAAAATATGTACATAATATGAATGAGTAGTATGATATAAAGTTGAATTTTAATTTTTAAAAATTACTAATATTTAAATATTGTTATAGGTAACACTGCTAGGAAAGTCAAGTGAGCTGAACGGAGGACCATGATCATTTGAAAAACAAAAATTAAATCTTGAAAAAAAAACTATGATAAAGTCTAGCTTTTGACTTAATTACCAATAAAAAAAGTCTAATACAACTTATTTCCATTAATAAATATTTAGATTAGATTATGAAAAGATTTTGTATTAATGCAAGAACCGAAAAGTTGAAAACAAACTTACAAGACGAAAGGTGGTGAAATAATTTCGATGAAGTCTAGTCAGAAATATAATTCTAAACGATACTGTTTCTACTAAAGTATAATATAATTAATTCCGATTTATGAATAATTAGATTATAGGATGATTAGATGTCTGTTTAATGCAAGAACCGAAGGGTTGAAAACAAAGTCACAGGAAGAAGAGTGGTGAGGTAGAGAGGGTACTTACCAATTGAAGATTCCTCCAGGAGAAGCTGCTAAGAACTGACGAAGAATCTTGTGCCCCTTCCCTTTTTATAGGAAATCTCCAGCCAATCAGAGAGAGGCTCTATGCTATATTTCGTACCCACAAAAGGGATGACATAAAAATGCTATGTTTTAGGGGATGAAATTTATTGGAGATAGACACTGGATAATTATCCAGAAATATTTAATAAAAAAAAAAAATAGTTAAACAAATTCGAACCTATAACATATTGATCGGTCCAGGATTAATTAATTAAATTTATTTTCTCAAAGGCTGTTTTGAGTTTACCATGCTTCCTAATTACCAACATCACCTGTGATCACCATGATATAAATGGGTGGCAGGATTAAAATAACTTTTACTAAAAAAAATTTATTTTATTCTTATGTTTAATAAAGTATATATACAAATTATGCGAAAATCTTAATGAAAAAATTATATTTATAATAATCAAAATAAAACTAGTACCCAGTGAATTTAATAAATGGCTGTGAAGGCATGATTTCAGATGGACTGTTTTGAGAATGTGCCATGAAATATTTAACATTAGTGTATCTATTATTGGGAATAAAAATGTATTTATTTTTTTTTTTAAACTGATTTTTTGTCAAAGTTATATATTAATAAAGTTTCATTGAAGTCCTCGTTTAAATTGCTAATTATGTTGTTTTAAAATCCCTGGTCTTTTTCTCATCTTACCCGGTAGAAATGAACGGATGACGAAAATAACATTTTTTGAGAAAACCCAAGTTTCATCCCGTTGAAGAAGAAAGAAGCTATTGAAAAAACTCATGGAGTTAGGTAATATGTCGAAGAAGTTCTCATAAAAATGTCAGTTCTTAAATCCATTCGAATGGATAAGGTATATGGAAGGTAAGGCTAGATTTTATGAGACCTAGAGGGTAAGGCGGGGTAAGATGACGAGTTCATCTTACCCCGCCTTACCCTAACAATCTGTTTTAAATTTGAGGGATTATTATTTTGCACAGATGTAATCCTCTTCTAAAAAAAAAAATATTTTTTCATCTTTTGCAACGGTTCACTAGTTAATTCGGTGGAATTAGTTCACTATTTGCTAAGATCTTTTAACTCGGTGGGAAAAAAATATAATACATTTTTTCATTTTCTTTCTTCTTTCTTCAGAACGATAAAATTACGCTCTGTTTTTGCGAAGTGGTCCAAATCAAAGTGGTCCAAAATCGAAAAAAATTGCCAACCACTGTTCTTGATATCAGAATTGCAATGATAATATCTTTTACCTGTTTAACATGTTAACATTTTTGGATTGATGCACAAACTTCAGTACTTTTTATCTATAGTTTATATCAATGTAATATGGTACCTGATGGTGCCAGAATAGTTGTCATTTATTTATTCAGTTCGAAAGTCTCGTGGCTTTATATTGAAATGTTCCATTAATATATTAACAATAGTTTTCACTAGTTTAAGAGGATCTAATAATTAAAAAATATTCTCATATCATTGTATGGGACTCCATGATATAATGCAACGAGTTGGAAGAGAAGCTGGGAATTCTTTAAGCCATCGAAGGATCTAGGACTGGGGTGGAGGGGTTTTCGGCTGAAAACCCCAAAAATGGAGAAAAGGTTTGTTTCACTAGTTCATATTTTTTTCTGTGAGTGATCTTAATACTTAAACAATCAGATTTTTGTTATTAAATATCCCTGAAAGCATTATTGAGCCTATTAAACTGAAACATAACTGTACATAGTTTCTTTATTTTTATCCCACAATAATTACCGTTAATAAAAAAAAAAAAAAAAAAAAAAAATTGTAAATAGTGTACATAGGTGTGGATGTGTTTTATTTATTTTATTATCATTCATCTTTAATGTGTTATTTTACTTATCTTGTATATTACTTTATCGTTTTATTTATTTATATATATATATGTTTGTTTATTGAATAATATAACACATATACAAATAAATAATATTATTCTATGTATTTTTTATTAAGTATTTTACTAATATTGAATTATTAAATCAAAATGTACTTCAATCGATGTTTATTTATGTTCTTGTTGAATGTTCCTGTTTGTGGATAACCGTATTTTTCTTTGCTCTACAATCATATTTTAATTATTTATTTATTTAATTATAACTAGACAATACTTGTTAATTATACTTTTTCAACATATTTTAAATCAAAATTTTTGTTGGTTATGACTTTTTGTTTCCGTATTCTTCTTCTTCTATCGGCTCTACGACCCACTAACATAAGTTTATTTGTTATCTTGGTCTGCTTCAACTTGATCACCAGTTTTCTGTATCGAGGGCTGATGCCTTTAAATTACAGACATATTGCTTTGTTTATTATGTTTACCTATTACTTAAATATATTTTTTTCTACTTTCTATTATTCTTATAAACAAATAAATTACTTTACCATTATTTTGTATATAGTTTTAAGTGTTTGGTATATGAATAGTTTGAGTTGTTCTGTACATAATTAGTTAACTTACTGTTTTTTAAGTTATTTTAATTTTTTAAGGTATCAAAACTTTTAGGGGAAAATAGACTTTTTTCCCTGTACAACTATGTTATTATCAAGTGAAAATATTTTTCTATAATACATAGTATTATGAATTACAAAATATTTTATAGCAAATAAAAAATTAATGTAAATTGTCTCTTACATATTTGTTTCTTTTCTTTTTGAGTGTCAAAATAAGTTTTTATTAGTAATGTGAAAAAAGATTTAATCCATACTTAGCACGATGTCCAATTTATGATTTATCTATCTGTGTGGGTGCTTAATCTATTGGGAAAAAGTATTAAAAAATTATCTTTTTTAGGGTTCTTTTTTTAACTTTTGTGTAGTTAATCCTTGATATCCTACATAACTATTATATATATATATATATATGTATAATAATTCTACTCTTACAAAAGTGATGTTTTGATTATTAATGATTCTTGATTTTTACATTTAAGATTATAATATGAAGTATATAGTTGAAATGTATAAAGCATTAAGGCCAACTCTGTAGCTAGTTAAAACTTTTAATAAATGAAATAAATAAAAACAATTTTTCTTTTCTTAAAAATATGTAATTTAAAATGAAGTTGGTGTAAATAAAGATAGTTGGAATAGGAAGTATAAATTAAAATAATAAAAACAACAATTGGGATGCTGAGTTTATTCAAATTATAGGATTAAGGAATACATGAATATATTGGAAATGAAAAATACAATTTTCAACCAATAAACTAAAATACTACATATATAAGTAATTTATAATTCATTCATTATCACCATTAAGGTATTCTTCAATTAAAAAAAAAACGACAAACAATGTAAGAATGATATAGATTGCATTTGAGCTTAAGAAAGATTCCTGGCTCATACGCATCCAAGAAATGACACGGCACCAACTGGCGTTGTATGTAATTACATTTGGGCTGGGGGCAATTCTCAATATTATCAATTCCATTTTGTTTTTGCCAATGGTTGCCTCTTCTTTCTTATTTTTAGTAGAGTTGGCATCCATGTCAGAAGTATAGCATGTTGCACTCAGCCATAGATTTTCCTCAGATGAAGAGGACTCAGTAGCAGAATCCGAATCAGACTCATATTGATAATAGCTAGCAGGGGTCACTTCGACAACTTCCATCGCATCCATATCTTCAGCAACTTTCTTTTTCAACAGAAGAAAATCGGTGGTTGTGGATTTGGTTGGGATAGCCTGAGTGATGTTGTCCAGAATGCTTGATGTCCCTGATGTTGGAGGATTGAAGATGATATCAAAAATGGAATGGTTGTCAGATTTTTCATCAGCACCGGTGAATTTGATGACGGCGATATCTCTCAACTTGTTATTTTTTGGAGAATAGTTGATCTTCAGTGGCTTGAATTCGGAATCATCATCATAGGCGCTCTTTTTTGTGGCTGGCTGGTTCTCAAAATCTGATATATCGCATATGGAAATGGCAATGAACATCGCCATCATCAAACAGACAATCTTGACAGGTGACATTTTGGAAAAACTGTAACAAACCAAAAACACAACATAATACATGTAATATAGTATAAAATTAATCAAATGAGATGAATAAATGAGTTTGTTTATGAGAAATCGAAAGGCAAATTGTTTTTCTCAAAAATTATTATTTTATTAAATAAAAGTCTAATTTATTTACTTTATTATTTTATTAATCATTATTAAAAGAAAAAAAAAACAGGCCTTCAAGGAATATATCATAAATTAATGAAAAATTACAAGTAATAGACAGTTCTCAATTCATTAACAAAATATGAGCTTTATATGTCCTATAGAAAAGGCATATATAAGTAAATTTGCAGTTAGATCACTTAAGATTATACCTAAACCACATAACATGACATATAAACATGGAAATGAGTGGGAAATTTAACTCAAAGCAACGAATCAGTGTCCCAGAAGTAAAAAATCAGATGGATCTCGAATATAAATAACAAAGAATATAAATAAAGAATATAAACAAACAGAGAATATAATTAACAAGAAAAACTGTAAAACACTAGACAAGGATAAGGACTGCTGATTCAAGCTGCCAAAGATCTACAAGGTCTGAAGAGCAAAAAAAAAAACAAAAAAAAAAACGTTGCTTTTTTAATTCTGGTTTTTGAAACATAAAGAAAGAATGACTTTGTGTTCGGTTATATTTATTAATAATGGAAACAAATATAAATGTTGAAAAGTAAAAAAAAAAAAATCAATATTCAATTAGAAGGAGATATGATTAACATTAACATAACTCATTATTGTTTTTCTATATCTGTTTAATGTTTATATTTTATATATAAATAGGTATGTTATTAACAATTTTTATTACAAGTATATTGATTTTAAAAGACAAACTACATTAGAGTAATACAAAGATAAAATTTTCTTAAAGTGTTCTATAAACAATTTAATAACTATAATTATTAAAATTGGTTCATTTTTTCATAAAAAAAAAAAAAAATGACTATCATTTTGAAAGAGAATAGTTTTAATGAGAAAAGAACAAATTCATACCATATTTATAGAAAATATAAATAAAATAAATCATGATAACATAATAATATTAATAAGAACAAAAAATATGAAAAATAAATTATATATATAAATATACACCATCAACACTACATAAATATTATAAGAGTATCACATTTAATTAATACAAATTAAAGAAAATACCCAATGACCCTATACATTAATTTCTGTTTAACGATATGCAACAAATATTATTCATATTTATATATTGTTGTTATGATATGTATATGAATTCATTAAATAAAAATATGTACATAATATGAATGAGTAGTATGATATAAAGTTGAATTTTAATTTTTAAAAATTACTAATATTTAAATATTGTTATAGGTAACACTGCTAGGAAAGTCAAGTGAGCTGAACGGAGGACCATGATCATTTGAAAAACAAAAATTAAATCTTGAAAAAAAAACTATGATAAAGTCTAGCTTTTGACTTAATTACCAATAAAAAAAGTCTAATACAACTTATTTCCATTAATAAATATTTAGATTAGATTATGAAAAGATTTTGTATTAATGCAAGAACCGAAAAGTTGAAAACAAACTTACAAGACGAAAGGTGGTGAAATAATTTCGATGAAGTCTAGTCAGAAATATAATTCTAAACGATACTGTTTCTACTAAAGTATAATATAATTAATTCCGATTTATGAATAATTAGATTATAGGATGATTAGATGTCTGTTTAATGCAAGAACCGAAGGGTTGAAAACAAAGTCACAGGAAGAAGAGTGGTGAGGTAGAGAGGGTACTTACCAATTGAAGATTCCTCCAGGAGAAGCTGCTAAGAACTGACGAAGAATCTTGTGCCCCTTCCCTTTTTATAGGAAATCTCCAGCCAATCAGAGAGAGGCATTCGAGACAATATCTGATTGTTCTTGGAATGACGACATGATGGCGCATTTCATATCTAAACATTAGTAATAAGATCCCTTATTCCACCTCATATCTCTATAATTATTAGCCCTATCGTCATTTCGATAACATTTTTTGCTTATCTGCTGACTATTTGGAACTATGATTCCTTTGTTTCGCCTTACTAATAATAAAAACAAAATTGTTATCGCTACAGAGCTTAATATTTTCGAACAAGGAGCCTTTGTTCTGCTTAATTGGAATTCCTCAGACTCTTTAAAAACAGACTCTTTAAGTGGACCAAAACTCGAAGCGTAAGCTATATATTTGAAAATCGAAAAGAAAATCATTGTATCCTAAATATAAGTCAATTAATTTCTAAAATAATCAACGAACAAAATTTCATTTTATTATTTGTCAGTACATACAGCGCACATACAAACGTAGTAAATAAATTTGAAAGAATACAGTTATACAACATTTACTTGGAGTTAGATACATCATAAGTAGGATTATTTCAGAGATGGAAAATTTAAGTCTCAGAATAAGGAGATTTTAATCATAAAATGTAAGATACTTAAGAAGTGCTTTAGCAACCAATATTAGTTTTTAACCATTAAAAAAATTACATTATACAAACATAGTCAGTAACATGCATTGTTTAAGTAATATTATAAAACAAAATAAATAATTTGCACAGTCTTAGCCAAATGTTATTAATTTTACAATCAGCTAATTTTCAACGAAAATGTCCTAAAAGGCTGAAAATTTAGTAAAAGATATATAAAGTAAGAATAATCGAACATATGTGTTGTTTTATTCTTAGAAATAAAATCAAGTCTATACTAAATTATATGTTTAAAAATATTGAAAAAAAAAATTTAAACTGTTATTATTATGTTAATGTATTAATACAAAAAATCAAAGGTTTATCTTCCAAGAAGGAGTCAATAATTAAATACTCAAATCAGGTATCATAATCTCCAAAAATCCTTCTTTCTTTATTGTTTTTATGAGTTTTCACCTTTATCATATCATATATGTGTTCTGGCCTTCTTTTCGAGGAGTCGAGAAAAAAATATTATATATAATTTCACCTATATCATATGAGTTTTCACCTATTCCAATGCAAATGCCTCTTAATTCCTAATGGCATCTATATCCTGATCTCTTCCAGATAGTGTTGCCCAAAATCGGTCTTGGTCTTGAAATTTGCAGGACCAAGACCAAGGGCGCCTAACTGTTGCATGACCAAGACCAGGACTGGTAAAGAAAATCGATTTTTTAAATAAAAATTAGTGAAAATATTTACTAATACTCAACAAGTTTAGTTACTATATGTTAATAATTGGTATAACCAGTATAGTTTTGTATTAAACTCCTCTAATTTTTCGTTCGGGCTTAGTTAGGTTCCTCCTATCTAAAAAAATACAGTAATATCTCTATATTAATAAGCTAATAAGTAACTGCAAGAATGTTGCGAGACTCTTACGCAAGACCAAGAGCATGACCAAGACTGAGGTTGCAAGACCAAGAGTCGTCTCGGTCTCGCATTTGGGCATCACTACTTCCAGATATATCTTTCTTTTAACCCACCCAAGCTTTTCTCATGATTAGAAACGTGCAATAAACGAAATGCAATTTTCCAACAGTTCTGTAGCCCTTGATCTAGCAAAAACAACGCTTTCTTAAAACTAAATAAATCCAAAGCCATCATTGTTAGACCTGGTCTTCTTTTGAAAGCCGTTTCGTCCTTTCTTTGCATATTTCTGAACAAATATCTAATTGATTTCCATAGTTAAAATTTTTGTGTCATATACTACCAAAACATAAGTTGAAGATTAACCTATTATATTTTATCACCCAGTTCACGACCAAAACCTAGGATTGAGGAAACATAGCATGAGGTTTGTAGATACCAGATGTACCCTGTGTTAGATCAGCGAAAGAATTTTATTTCAAAGCTTCAGTTGGCTAGATGAAGCCACCCCTTACAGCGATGTTGGCCCTTTGCGCTTTCTTCATTAGTCTGACAAAGAGAGGATACACCATTATTTCAATCTTTTTTTTTTTTTTTTTTTGTGATACTGCATCGAAAAATATTAGATATGTGTTCTGGCCTTCTTTTCAAGGAGTCGAGAAAAAAATATATATAATTTCAAACATAATTTATTTTTCATTTCTTTTGCTAGGATTTTTAGATTACTATATATCGATCGTTATGTTTTTTTGTGCAAAATAAGAAAACAATATTAAATATTGTATTAAATGAGACATGATTTGTCATAAATAACAAAAACCTAAAGGTACTTTCAGTAAAGCAGGCCAAGTAATTTTTTATTCTGAAAAAAACAAATACAATTTTTTTTTAGGGCACTTTAAAACTCTTGAATTCGAATTTTTATATATATAAAAAAATACAGCCTTGAGTACATGATTTTCTTGGATGAGTTTTTATACGGCCGTCAACTAAACCTTTATAACTCCTCAGGATTCTTTTCAAATTCAACTTTAATATAACTGTTGAAAAGCTTAATTACTGTTCTTCCAACTGACATCAATAACTTTTGGATTTTTATCGAGCTAGAATTGAAGAAAACTTCTAACACATTTTTATTTTATATCTTTAGTTTTCCTGTTCTACATTATCCTTCAACAATAGCCCTCTTATCTCTGTCGAACAAATTCGATACTTAGGACAAACGACTCACTTGGAACCCCCATACCAGACTGAAACGACCATAAACCCCCCGACGTTTTCGACTACTGCAGCACTTACTAGACAAACGATCTAAGCTTTCAATCAATTATAAACGACTGGTATATATGACAATAATAAGACCTATTTGGACTTACGGAATTGAGCTTTGGGGCTCCACTAAACCATCGAATTCCTCTCGTATCAAATCCTTACAATCCAAAATCCTTCGTAAAATCCTCAACGCTCCTTACTTTGTCACAAATAAAATCATCCATAAAGACCTTAATGTTCCATATGTTTCCGATTTGGCCCAATCCAGATACCTGTCCTTCCATAACAAACTGCAGAACAATCCGAATCCTTTCGTTTCAAACCTTGCTTCCTCCTCGATCCTTGCTTCC